TCTCGCGTTACTTAAGGTTAGAATGCATGAAGGGTCATGGGTGTGGCTAAGTTCACAAAGAAAACACTTTCAAAACTTCTTTTTAACCAATTTTAGTAACTAGTTTAAAAAAAAACCGAAATTTAAATTCGTCAAATCTTTTTCCGTGAAATACGAAAACGTCCGTTCAAAATTCAATCTAACTTCGGTGAAATTGCCGAATTAAAATCACCCATTCGACAGTCTAAAATCCAATTAGCGACTTTCAAGTTTGGCTTATTCACCTTTTGTTTTTAACCGAGATCGTGAAACGGTTTTCTTCAAAATTAGTTGAAACCTCGCGCTCGCTCGAAACGTTTTACGTAAGAAAATTATTCAAACGACTACTTAAATAAAATACTAAAATACGCATTAATAAATAAGAAAAAAGGAAACTTTGGGACTACTTAAAGTCTTTTCGTCTGTTGAAAGGGAAATTTGACCTAGTTGTTTTAATTACCTTAACTTCTATTTATTCGCGACGTACTTACTTTGCATATTGTTAAGATTAGAAATTAAAATAAAACTTTTGGATGCGTATAGATAAAGAATAAATTAGATTTTTATGAAAATTCTTTTAAATAGTTATTTTTATTGGTTTTATAAGTACACGTTTCGAGCGGTAATTGTCTATCATCAGCCGAATTTTTAAGATAATTGTGTTAAATCTTTACAACATCGAATAAACGATAATTAGCTTTGACCGGATATTAAAAGCTATTACTTAGTACTCCAGCATTTTGAGAAAACAATATTTGAAGTTTTAATATAATTTTCGATGTGTCCTTCTTGAAGGATCCTTGTGAAAATATTACCATTTATTAATTAAAATATCCTCTTTTTAATGCAAAAAGCCGTTTTGAAAAATCGCTTTTAGTTTTTGAGAAATTAATTTTTGAATTTTTGAATTAAATTTTCGCCGATTAAGTTTTAAAAATTCGTATAAAATCCATTTCTTGGAATATGAGTATGAAAATTTCGCAAAGTGTTAATAAAAGTGTCCTCTTTCCAACGAACGAACCCGTTTTGAAAAATCACTTTTAGTTCTTGCGAAATAAATTTTTGAAATAAGCGACAATTTTTTCGAATTTTGCAATTTTCGCCGATTAAGTTTTAAAAATTCGTATAAAATTCATTTCTTAGAATATGAGTATAAAAATTTCCCAAAGTGTTAATAAAAGTGTCCTCTTTTCAATGAACCAACACGTTTTGAAAAATAACTTTTAGTTTTTGAGAAAACAATATTTGAAGTTTGATAAAATTTTCGATGTTGCAATTTTTATCGATAATTTTCAAAATTCGCTATAAAATTAATTTTTTGAAGGATCTTTGTGGAAATATCACCAATTATTAATTAAAGTACCCCCTTTTTAATGTAAAAAGCCGTTTTGAAAAATCACTTTTAGTTCTTGCGCAATAAATTTTGAAATAAGCGACATATTTTTCGAATTTTGCAATTTTCGCCGATTAAGCTTTAAAAATTCGTAATAAATCCATTTCTTGGAATATGAGTTTGAAATTTTCCAAAAGTGTTAATAAGAGTGTCCTCTTTCCAACGAACAAACACGATTTGAAAAATAACTATTAGTTTTTGAGAAAACCATGTTTGAAGTTTTGATCAAATTTTCGATGTTGCAATTTTCATCGATAATTTTCAAAATTCGCTATAAAATTAATTTTTTGAAGGATCTTTGTGGAAATATCACGAATTATTAATTATAGTAAACTCTTTTTAATGCAACAAACCGTTTTGAAAAATCGTTTTTAGTTCTTGAGAAATAAATTTTTGAAATAATCGACAATTTTTTCGAATTTTGCAATATTTGCCGATTAAGTTTTAAAAATTCGTATAAAATTCATTTCTTGGAATATGAGTATGAAAATTTCCCAAAGTGTTAATAAAAGTGTCCTCTTTCCAATGAACCAACACGTTTTGAAAAATAACTTTTAGTTTTTGAGAAAACAATATTTGAAGTTTTGAAAAATTTTCAATGATGCAATTTTCATCGATAATTTTCAAAATCAGTTATAAAATTAATCTTTTGAAGGATCCTTGTGGAAATATCACCAATTATTAATTAAAGTATCCTCTTTTTAATGCAAAAAGCCGTTTTGAAAAATCACTTTTAATTCTTGAGAAATAAATTTTTGAAATCATCGAAAATTTTTTCGAATTTTACTTCGATGACTTGCATTTGTTGATAATTAAAAATGCAATGTCAATAACATTATTAACCTTAGTGCAGGTACCGTCATTCAAAAATTAATAATTCAAACTTGATACCCCACATATTCTATATGAAATTGGTTCATTCATTCCTACAATACAAAGTTTATTAATATTAAGGCTTAAACAAGTTATTTAGAAATTAAAGAAATAAAAGTACAATTTTGAACACTATGTATCTTTTAAACTAAAGCGGATGGGTCTTCAACTGCAATCGTCCTGAATCGTCGTATTTTGGTGTATACTATTTCCATTTGTAGAGTACAGGAAGTTTTATAAAAGGGTCAACATGAAAAGAAACCCTTTTAGCCCACACATGAAACAGATTAAGAACGTTGATGGAACACTGATTACTGAGACGAGTGAGATAGTGAGAAGATGGCGGGGCCACTTCAACACACTGCTGCGCTCTAACAGTGAGTAACAAGAATACTACAAGAACAGACCGGTGGGAACCAGAAGACCAGAGAAAGACCCGAACCAAAAAAAGCAGGGTGTTGCTGATTTTTTGGCGTACACCATATACATATAACATTAAAGTTAAAGAGTAGCATTGCGGCTCCAATTTTCGATTCCAATTTTTAAATAACGTGTTTTTTGCAGAAAAACAGGCAATAATATTTTTTATGACAAGAAAAATAGCAAGTGTTGAACCATTTTGGAAACTTGACTAAACAGGCCATCTTTTAAAATTACTTGCCAAGGGTGTTGTACTACACCTTCTTTTTGAAATCGTGTGTCAAACTTGATACACATAAATTCTTTCAACCTTAACTCAATCAAATTAATATATTTTTTTGCAAAACTAACGATTTTTGTTCATAAGGAATATATTAAAAAAATTACTATTAAATTGCGAACATTTCTGACCGTAGTACCTAAAGGTATGATATACAGGACCGATTTTTAACGTTTTCAAAAATATGGTATTACCACTTAACTAAGAGACATGGAATTTTTTTCTTATTTGTACCCGAACAGGTATGGGTTGGCCTATCACCCGGTGCCCGCTTGACGTTGAGTTTCGGGACAGCCTGTATATATATATAAATATATACAGGTGTCTCCGAAATGCGTGTACAACGGAAGACCACAAATTCCTTGACTCAAAATAGGTCGATTTAAGTTAAATTATCTATATCCAAAGTTGCTTCGTTTCGCCGCTAGAGGACTTCAAAATTAGCAAAAAAATTCTATATATTTTATAATTCGAAAACGTGTAAATCAATTGAAACCATTGTTCAGAAGTGTATTCACGTTAAACATAAATTGCAATTAGTTGAAATCATTGCCAACTACGATAAGGTCACTTTTGTAACTGCAATGACGTAAACAAGGCTTGCAGATATTTAAAAATACCTTTTTTCTGGCTTAACCACTTATGTAATCAAAATCTTATAAGAGACAAAAACGGTTTAGAACTAAATGGGCTATTCAGAAATTATAATAATGTAATTGTCGCCTGGCCAGAAAAAAAAATATGGAGTAATATCCGGTGAACACATGACATTTCCATCATTCCTGTGTTTCTAAAATTGTATCAAAAACCATAAAAAGACGTTAATTGAACCTAGGAACTCACTTCTGAAAAATGGTTTCAATTGATTTACACGTTTTCGAGTTATAAAAAATAAAAGAATTTTTTTTTGCTAACTTTGAAGTCCTCTAGCGGCGAAACGAAGCAACTTTGGATATAGATAACTTAACTTAAATCGACCTATTTTGAGAAAAGGAATCTGTGGTCTTCCGTTGTACACGCATTTCGGAGACATACTGTATATAAATTAAGTTAAAGAGTTGCACTCTTTCAGGCTGATTTGAGTATTCTGACATTTGGTCCCAGAGTAGTTGTGAAAGCTTTATGTACTCATTTTTAATTTGATTGCCCAACTACAAAAACTGCAAAATTTAATTTCTTATAAAAATACAAAAAAAGATTAGTGCCATCATCATACATTATACAATATCAATACGAAATATTAAAGTTCTGACGTAATATCCACTTAACTTACTAAAGAATAGTCTTTCAGTATTATCACAAAATTACTTTTAGTATTTGTGGCCAAGAGATTTTTAAGTTTGATTGGTACACTTGTACTATCGTGTTTTAATGGTTGCCTAGATGTAGCCTATTCATTTTCTATGTGCGATACAAATTCGCTAAATTCAACCCAAAATTCGCCCCTAAATATTGACTTTCATCTCACACTAAGGTTCTTATTTCACTTGCATTTATGTCTTATAAAACTAAGAAATGCTACATCTATGTTTGAGTAAGTCATAATTCAATTCAAGTTCTACTAAAGGATAAATAATGCATGGTGTGTCAATCAAATCTCATAAATTTTCTTGTTTCATATTTTTCAGAATTGATATCGATAGTTTATTGCTTATAACTTATCATCAATGCAATTTTCCAAGAATTAACTATAACAGATCTTTAGTGTTTCAAAATCAAAGTATAAATACTTTACCCTTCTTATTTTTATGTTCATGAAAATTTTTGTTTTTTTTTGAAACATTATGCAAATTTTTAATAAAGAGCAGTTCTACAAAATAAATTTAAACACAATTGGTTTAAAAATAAAAACAATTTCGTCGACAATTACTTAGCGTAACTTCCACCGGAAGTGTTCATTTCGTATGCAGACGGCCAACGGCGCGGTAGTTCGGAAAATTCGGGGCGGCTGCGTGTGGGGGGGCGCAAGCGCTCGTCGCATCATCCCCTAGCGTCCAACATTGTAACCACGCATCCAGTCGACTAGATCTCCGCTATCTCATCTCTCGCATCGATACGACCGACCCGCGCGCCACTTTTCCACAAGAAAATCCGTTGAAACGCGCGCGTCCCTTCATTTTCCCCATCGGGTTTTAACGATGCTGTGAGCGGAAAAAATCGAGAAAAAATTACTAACCAATCGATGGTGTAGTGCCGTAGTTCGTAGTAGGCGAATTCGACGGGATTCTTAGCGATGGGTGCGAAGGGGAGCGTCGAGGCGGCGAAGATTAACGCCGAAAGCTGGAATAGTTTTGAGGTAATTTTTTTTTTAGTTTATTTTGAAGATGTCTTTATTTCGTTCGTTCACCTCACGAAAATAGAACCTCGCAAAACGAGTCTGACCCAAATACTTCTCATCTCTATTTCTCCTATCATCGACAGTGTTTTCTCTTACAACGTTTTAAAAACATAACATGGGCGTGTGATACACCCATCGAGAGGGACCGAAGGTAGACAGTAGGGGAGTGTCGGGTTCCCCCCTCGAGAAAGGTTGGGGTGATCCTGATTTTCGGTGGGGTAAAAGGGGGCGATAGCCGCCGCACACGTACGCGCGGGAGTGCAGTTGCCCGGTTTTAATGTGGGTTTGTAATTTGAGGGGAGCACGGGGGGACGTTGGGATGCTGGGTGCGTGGTCGCACGGTGGGGGAAGGATCGATCTGGTGGATCTCCCGGCGTTGTGACGTCACGTCGACATCGTCGTCGGTGTTTGGGGGGAACGCGGGATACAGCGTTGCGGAGCCCCCCCGCCTGCGTGCGTATACTGGACATCTACTACGTATTGAAAACCAACCCTGGTTTGACTGTTGAATGGGGGGACTTAATACACAAAATATACCTAAAAAAAATAAAGACATACCACAGATTTATATCGAAATACCAAAGCCACCAACCATGACACACCTATCGAGTTCTTCGTGGGACACTTATTCTCATCAATCAAGCATGACCCTACTATAATATAATATAATTCTTGCATGAATACGTCATTTCGATATTATCCACCTGTTACTTCGTAATTATTTTTTTCTTGGTTATGTTTTAAAATGGTTTCATTTTTGTTATTAGCACAAACATAAGTCCGGCCATCAGCGCTCGCAGTCTTTGAACCGCGGCAGTAGCAGGGGAGGCCAGTGGGGCTCTAGGGGAGCTGACGGGGGCACGGACATGTGGTGACAGCAGCGCCAGTGCCAGTGCCCCGCTGCAGCGATGGGCAACAAACTTAGTTGCTCCTGCGGCCCGCTCATACGCAAGGCGTACCGATATGACGATTCTCCTTGGCAAACTTCCAGAAGGAGAGACGGGCACCTATTAAGGTACAAAATCATAATCAAATCATATTTGATTGAAAAAATCGTTTTTGTAGGCTATGGGCTGAAGTGTTTCATGTATCAGCAAGCGGGGCGGGCACAGTTAAGTGGCAACAGGTCAGTGAGGATCTGGTGCCTGTTAACATCACTTGCATCCAGGATTCTCCAGAATGTGTGTTCCACATCACGGCCTACAATTCGCAAGTGGACAAAATCTTAGATGTTCGATTAGTCCAACCAGGTACAGCAACCCCAATCACGTTAAAACTCACCTCAAAAATTTATCTTGTAGGTACAAGAATTGGCCAAGCCTCAGACTGTTTTATTTACTGGAAAGATCCGATGACCAACGATACCTGGGGCTTAAATTTTACCTCCGCCATCGAAGCCAAACAATTCAGAGATTGCGTTGTAAGTATCAGCAAAAAGACCAAAGAAAAGAACGAGATTTTGTGTTTAGAGTACTTTATGTTTTCGTTTCGTTTTTATACAAACTAGGAGTAACTTATTCATGAATGCGTTGAATTGTTTCTTAGAGATCTCAGCAGGAATTAGTTTATAGCCATCTAGCACTTTCTAGATAGTATGGTACTTCCTAGCCGGTAACTATACTTATTAATTATAGTCTGATATGTTACAGTCGCCGTCTTTTAAATTCTCGAGGAAGGCTTCGTCTTCTTACTCCCTGAAGCTCGAACCACTCAATAAGAAGCAATTTAAAACCAAGCGTAAACCACTCAGCACCCCAGCTTCACCAAGCAGAGCAAGAGAACCTCAATGTACTTGCATGACAGCCGAACAATACGCCAGATTGAGAGCCCAAGATCCCAGATATCGTGGTAAATTCAATTTATACTCAAAAATATTTGAAACTAAATCTATTATACTACTATATAGGTTCATCAACCCTTCCACGAGCTCAAACTAGAGCAACAGATACCGAAACAAGAACCGATAAAGTCACAGCAGCAACATCATCGACAAGTCTTTACGACAACGTTGGTCAAACTCAAGTTACATCATCGGCAACTCAAGAAACAAAATCAACCCAAAGAGAACAAACCACTCAACGTCAAACAAGAGACAGAGCGACTCAACAGCAATCCCAAGAAACTAGCACCATGACTACGAATACAGCAACAGGTCCAAAAACGGTTACTGCAAGCGTAGGCACTCAAAATAATATATCATCCCAAGTAAGCCAAACGGAAACTCAAAGTCAAACTCAAACGACGGAATCTTCAAAGTCCGAAGGAACTCAAGCTGGTGGTAGCCTCCAATCGTCAACGAAAAATACCTCGACTTCAACGAGAGCTCCATCATTACGGGATCACCACATATTAACAAATACTAAATCTGTTGATTATTCTGATATTGATATGGTTAGAGATGCTGAATTAAGAGCTGTTCATCACCATAATATGTTAAATGCTGGAATAGGAAGTAGGAGGAGCAAATCGAAGAGTACGGAAGATATGAATAGGGAAAATGGAATGAGTTTGGATAGCAATACATTAAAAAGGATGCTAAAACCAATGCCGAGCGTTGAAAGTCCTGTTACATCGCCCGAAATGGGAAGAAGACGATACAATTATTATAACACTCATCACCACAGGCACGGAAATGGAAGATTATCCGAACCGGAAAACGCACCGCATCCCCATCCACGATCAGCGATGGCTCAAAACTCAAGATTTTCAGGTTCTAGATCATCACATGAAATTGGAAGAGGATATCCTGGGAGAGGACTTTATTTGGAACTTGAAAGAGGAGCTTGTGGTGATTTATCACCTCCTTCTGACAACGTACTTTTTGATAATCAATGTTATGCAACCACCCCTAGTTCTAGTAATGGTAATTCTGATCCAGAACAAACTTCGCATTATCATGGACGACAAAGACATCATTTACATCATCAAGTAAATAAATAATTTTTAAATCGATTAATTTATTAATGTTTTTTTTTTGTTAATTTAGAATTCTAATATAACACCAACCCCAGGATCTCCAACCAGTAGACTTCTTTTGGAATACGAGATGCATTTACGAAATACTTTGGCGAAAGGCATGGACGCTGAAAGTTATAGTTTACACACCTTCGAAGCTTTGTTAACTCAAAGCATGGAAAATTTAGGTGCGAATTATTTTGTGATGAGTAATTATTTAAATTAATTTTGATGATTTTTCTTTGTAGAATTTGCTGAAAGCTTACCTGGTTCAAATCAACGTAGTCCATACCCAACAAGGAGAAGTAATTAATTAATTAACTTAATTCATAATTATCCAATTAAGTTAATAAATATTTTTTAGGACCAGCATCCAGCGCTTCAATCAACAAATCCTCCACCCTCCCTCATAGACTGAGTAGTTCTAGAGATAAAGATATAAGAGATCGTGATAGAGACGGGTATTACAGCGACAGAAACGAATTAATTAGAGAACGCGAAAAAGAAAGGGGATATTTGAGTGACCACAACTCAAGGTTAGTTATTTTTAGAAATAAAAATTCTTTATTTTATTAATGGTTTTATTTTTAGTTTCAGTTCGAGATGTGCTTCTTGTATCGGGGAATCGAGCAGGGCTCAATGGTTTCGACATTCAGATGGATGGAGATCTGGTAGTTCCAATTACAGCTCGGTTCAAGGGGTTCCTCCGGGACATAAAAGATCTCCTTGGGATTCTCTACCATCGTTGAGACAAGATAGTAGCATGAATGATAGTGGTTATAAGAGTAATAGGACTGATTCTTTCGAACAAAGGTATTATTATGATTGGATTAATTTTTTATTAAAGTCTTAAATGTAAAGATATTGAATAGTGTAAGGTGATTAATTTACTTTGGAACGAAACTGAAGGCTATTATGCTTTAGGTGATTGATTACTACAACGTCAAACAATTTGCTACCAGTTTACAGAAACTATATGGTCGTTACAAGGTAAATGATTGATGGGATCACATTATGCAGATCATTATAACGTAACAAATTTAGTTTATAACGATTCTTACGAAAATATCTTTCGGTCATTATAAACGCATTGAAGAAATTTATGCATTAGATAACGGACTCGAGTTCCATTTAATGTAGCGAATTTTTAGGTCGGAGGTTCTTTAAATATTTTTGACTTGAGGGAGTTCAGTTTGCGTTCGGAATCGGTTCGGTTAACTTATACAATGTATATTGACGGGTGTTAACTGGAGCTTATTTGATGGATCGATACTGTTGGATAACTAGAACCGGTATAATTTAGTGCAATTGCTTTGAAATAAGCACCTGGGGCAATATAATATTGGCACTGATATGGTATCCTTCGAGTTGGACTCCGATGTCCTCAACCCCTCGGTATAATTGGCGTAAAGGATCAGTTATTGACGGGCTTCTATATTAGATATAATCCTAGGAGGTAGTCTGGGTTAATAATTTTAATCGATTCGAATAGTTTTATGGAGAAATTTTTAATGAAATTTTATGTCGTAAAGCTAACTTTCACGAGGTAATTATTAATTGAACGCGATTTTATGTGAAATTCATAAACTTTATAATTTAATAAAACTACGAGACGAAATTTTAGTTTTAAGTTGATTATTATATATTACGAAATTCCATTTTGTCTTTTTAACTTTCAGAAACATTTTCGATCGTCAGGACAGCTTAAAATCGGACTACATGAGCGACAGGGAATCAACGCGTTACGGAATCGTTCAACAGGCGTCAATAGAAAGTGCAGATTCCAGATTGTGCTATCTCACATCTTCTGAGGTAAGTGATTTTTTTCGTTATTGGCGAATTAACACCCTTAGCGGAGCAATTTTCACGAAAACGGGAAATTTAGATTACTTTAAAAAAAAGTCTTGGCAAAAACGTTTTTTCCTTTAACGGTTAACGGGCTTAAACGTAAATCGGGAAATATCCGGTGCTGATTATTGGCGGATGCGCCGGTACCGCATTTGGACCGGAAAATTTGCGGGAAGCTTTGGAGAAAATTGATTTACAAATGATTTGGTTTGTGCGGGTCGAAGCTGTTTGTGAGAGTCTATAATTGAAAAGGGCGGTGATAAAAGATTTTTATTTAGTGTCGAATAAGAAGATATTTTCACGAAAAGTATATATCATAGAGTTGCTAGATAATAGAAATGGTTATTAGGAACCAAGCCAAAATCGATAAGACTAAAAGTTGTTTAGGATCCAAATATTCTATTTTTATCAAATGGGAACAGAAATTAACCGTTTGTGTCCCGATACTTTAAAGTACCGGTAGTTTTAAGCACTCATTTTAAACTGTAATCATCTATTCGGCGCATTTAGAGCTGTCGGTACTTTCTACTATATACGAAAGAATCTGTATAAAAAATGACGCAATCCGCACTAGAGTTTTTAGTATATATTTATTCGTCCAGATGTGAGGTTAGAAGTTTAGTAAAAAGTGGTGTTGTTGAATTTTGTTGTTCAAAAAGCTATTTTTGATAAATGGTTATTAGGTGTGATTATTACAGATCATTTTAAAAAGAAAGCTTTGAGCTTTAATTTAGAATAAGTCTCATTCCTTAATTTCAATAAATACGGCTTCCAGGAATTTTTAAATTAGCATCTTTTTTGACACTTTTAGGTTGTACGAAAATGTAAGTTTTGTTTCAACATTTTTTTTCTCAATATTTTTCCAATCCAACCCGACAATTATTATACATCATTTTAAAAAGAAAGCTTTAAGCTTTAATTTAAAATAAGTCTCATTCCATAATTTCAATAAATACGGCTTCCAGGAGTTTTTAAATTAGCATCATTTTTGACACTTTTAGGTTGTACGAAAATGTAAGTTTTGTTTCAACATTTTTTTCTAAGGTATTTTTCCAATCCAACCCATTACTTATTATACATCATTTTAAAGAGAAAGCTTTGAGCTTTAATTTAGAATAAGTCTCATTCCTTAATTTCAATAAATACCGCTTCCAAGAATTTTTAAATCAGCATCATTTTTGACACTTTTAGGTTATACGAAAATGTAAGTTTTGTTTCAACATTTTTTTTCTTAATATTTTTCCAATCCAATCCAACCCAACAATTATTATATATCATTTTAAAGAGAAAGCTTTGAGATTTAATTTAGAACAAGTCTTATTCCTTAATTTCAATAAATACGGCTTCCAAGAATTTTTAAATTAGCATATTTTTTGATACTTTTAGGTTGTTCGAAAATGTAAGTTTTGTTTCAACTTTTTCTCTCTTAATATTTTTCCAATCCAACCCAACAATTATTATACATCATTTTAAAGTGAAAGCTTTGAGCTTTAATTTAAAATAAGTCTCATTCCTTAATTTCAATAAATACGGCTTCCAGGAATTTTTAAATCAGCAGCTTTTTTGATACTTTTAGATTATACGACAATGTAAGTTTTATTTCAACATTTCTTTTCTTAATATTTTTCCAATCTAACCCAATAATTATTATATATCATTCTAAAGAGACAACTTTGAGCTTCAATTTAGAAAAAGTTTCATTCCTTAATTTCAATAAATACGGCTTCCAAGAATTTTTAAATCAACATCTTTTTTGACACTTTTAGGTTATACGAAAATGTAAGTTTTATTTCAACTTTTTTTTTCTTAATATTTTTCCAGTCCAACCCAATAATTATTATATATCATTCTAAAGAGAAAACTTTGAGCTTTAATTTAGAATAAGTTTCATTGCTTTATTTCAATAAATACGGCTTCCAGGAATTTTTAAATTAGCATATTTTTTGACACTTTTAGTTTGTACGAAAATGCAAGTTTTATTTCAACTTTTTTTTTCTTAATATTTTGCCAATCCAATCCAACAATTATTATACATCATTTTAAACAGAAAGCTTTGAGCTTTAATTGAGAACAAGTCTTATTCCTTAATTTCAATAAATACGGCTTCCAGGAATTTTTAAATCAGCATCTTTTTTGACACTTTTAGGTTATACGAAAATGTAAGTTTTGTTTCAAGATTTTTTTTCCTAATATTTTTCCAATCCAACCCAATAATTATTATACATTATTTTAAAGAGAAAGCTTTGAGCTTTAATTTAGAATAAGTTTCATTCTTTAATTTCAATGAATACGGCTTCCAGGAATTTTTAAATTAGCATCTTTTTTTGACACTTTTAGGTTATACGAAAATGTAAGTTTTATTTCAACATTTTTTTCTTAATATTTTTCCAATCCAACCTAACAATTATTATATATCATTTTAAAGAGAAAGCTTTGAGCTTTAATTTAGAATAAGTCTCATTTCTTAATTTCAATAAATACGGCTTCCAGAAATTTTTAAATTAGCATTTTTTTCACACTTATGTAGATTATGCGAAGTTGTTAGCTTTTGCTCAATATGTCTTTTCTCAATATTTTATCAGATTTTCGTCGTTCTGTAGATACAGGTCTGATAAAGAAATATTCAAATTTACTGCGTCCACGAAAATATCGTAGCGCAAGTTCAAAAGAAGTGTTCTGCCAAAGCTAGACCCCACTCAAAATGTACTGCGTGCAATGTTTATTTATGTTGTAGAAGTTTTTAAAGAAGTTTTTTTGAATGTCATAATGGGATTTAGCTAAAGCAAGTGTGATTTTCATATTAGCAATAAAAGCTTTTGTATACTGCAAACTACTAATGTACTAATGCTTGGCGGTACTCTTATTATCCCCCTGGAATGGGGGGATTGCATATTTTACTAAAATTGATTCCAAAGGCCGTTTTAATTCTGTCACAAATTTTCAAAATTTCTGACTTCTTGGGACACAAAGGGTTAAGTTAAATCTAAAGGAAATATGAAATTTGTAAAGTTAATCAAACATTACTATCCATCCCTTTATCTAAAAAAAGTTCTATTTGGAACATAAAATATATATATTTTTTGTGTAAATCAATCTGTCCCCAATTTTCTATAGTTTCCTTATCCTTCTCTCTAGAGAGATTAAGGCCAAGCTGCCTTTCTCTTTTCGTCGAAACGCGTCCCTCGGGACTTATGAGACAATATAAGCTAAGAAGTACGTGGTGCGAAGCACGACCCGAAATTGATTCAACTGGCCCCAAAGTCTCGGGTGGCCTTGTCCCTATTAGTTTTCCCGGCTGGTGTTGGGCCTGCGCCTTGTCGCTTTGGCGTCGTCCTCCAAGCGGATCCCGGAACACACAAAACGGACCGTGTCGTCGAGACGCTAAAAATCAGCGATCGAGTGGTTTCGCGAAGTGTGTTGTGTACTCCAAAAATCATCGTCACCCTTTTCGGCTACTTGTTGACCGTTGCGGTTCACTTCGCCCTCTGCCCTCGTTTCGGCAACGTTGGCACCATTGCGAATTTTCCACAACCAGAATAGAATCCGGGTACGGCGCATGTCTCCCGGAATAATTGGTAACTACAGCTTTTTTTTGTATGAACGAGCCACACAGTTTTTTTTTGATAGGAAAATCGTTGGGGTCATATTCTTGTCAGTTTTGATTTTGATATTTTAAACAATACATATTTAAATAAAAAAAATAATAAACAGAAAATTTTTATCATATTCTTCATTACTTTCTCATTAATTAAGATTCCATCCTTAACAACTCTCAACCCATTTAACGTTTTATCACTACATAACTTCGAATTCAAATAAGAAGAATAAAGCTTTAAGTAAACCAAAGATGCAGAGTGATTTCTAGATATGCATCTAAAAAGTTAAACTGTATTTATAAGAATGATCTGAAAAAAATGCTTTATTTGAATTACCTAATATTAATAAAGCATTAGTAATTCTGGGACACTTGTATTGTTATGTAGATTACGTTTAATGTATTCATATTATCACTATACACATGTTATGATTAATTCTGTTAAACGTTCTTGGTTCATAATCGAGTCGAAATATTTGATAATTATTTTGGTTCTAAAATATATTGATTTAATCGATATTGACTTCATATAGGATAACTATTAATAATACGATATATTCTAATAAATTCTGGAATTGATGTTACTCTCTGCTAAATCGAAGGTTAGAGATTGTCTTTCAAAACTTTCTGCTTTATTTCTTTATGGAAAAGTGAAGATGTCAGCTGGGAGAATGAAGCTGATTTTTATGGTAGCGCCTCAAGCCTAAACGATCTCGGGTAGATCTTGGCTGCCTTTATGTTTAATCTTTACCGGTTGAGGGATTAAAGCCAAGGTTGTTTGTGACTACGGCGCTTTAATTGCAACCCTCTGCACTCGATATAATGTATTAGTTATGCAACCAGCCTTTCTGGTTAGATTTGGCAAAAATTCCTGTATAAGAATTGGCATTTTGAAAAACATATTAAGAATACATANCTATATTTTTCCAATCCAACCCAACAATTATTATACATCATTTTAAAGAGAAAGCTTTGAGCTTTAATTTAAAATAAGTCTCATTCCTTAATTTCAATAAATACGGCTTCCTGAAATTTTTAAATTAACATCATTTTTGACACATTTAGGTTATACGAAAATGTAAGTTTTGTTTCCACTTTTTTTTTCTTAACATTTTTCCAATCCAACCCAACAATTATTATACATCATTTTAAAGAGAAAGCTTTGAACTTCAATTTAAAATAAGTTTCATTTCTTAATTTTAATAAACACGGCTTCCAGGAGTTTTTGAATTATCATCTTTTTTGACACTATGCGAAAATGTTAGTTTTTGCTCAATATGTTTTTTCTCAATATTCTATCAGATTTTCGTCGTTCTATAGATACAGGTCTGATAAATAAATATTCAAATTTACTGCGTCCACGAAAATG